AAAAAAAAAAAAAAAAAAAGATAACATCATTTTATCAAAATACGTGTAAGTACAAATACATAATAGATAAAACTTGGACTATATCAACAGAAAGCCACAATTAGCTTAAAAAGTAGATTATGATTTGAGCATTTTCTATACCAGATTCAGCAAATGTTTTCTGTAGAAGATAAGATAGTAAATAATTTAGAATTTGTAAGCGAAGAGAACATATACTCTGTACTTGTGGCTGAAGCACCCATCCACCATACATAAATGAATGAGCATAGTAGTATGTATGAGAGGCACAAAACAGGCACAAGCCTGAATATTCTCCCACAGGATATATTTTTCTAACCTGTATCTATTCAATTCCAAACAAGTAAACTTACCAGATTGCTAAATCAACTAAAAATGTACCAACTTAATCTTGTGATTTTAATGTGTCTTTCTGGAGTTACATTGTTTATGTGTATTATTTTTATTTCTTTGGGAAAAGGGTTGTGAAATCTCCAACAGGCTTAAAGAAGATGGAGTGAGAAAACATCTACTAAATTTTACAAAAGAAAATTATTTGTGTTCTTGCATAGAAATTAAACTCGTAAATGGATTATACACATACTTTTTTCAAAAAATATATTCATTCATAATAATAAAAAATCAATTCTAGTGAGATACTAAGGAACGTCTTTCCTATTAGCATTCAAAGGGTAATTCTAATCATACTGGTTGCCCTAAAGAACAAAGTTCCTTAACCTTAGTGGTTTGCAAAGTAACAACAGGTCAATTTATGTGTTTTTTTTTTTATCACTCAATATAATGGGGGTGTTTTTGGTCCATGAGTAACTTTATATGTAAGAATTGGGGCCATATACTCTTCCATCTTCTCACTTTTCTCTAGTTTTTCAGGCATCTCCCTTCCAATGAGAATGTAGAAGAAATAAAAAAAAGTTAAAAATGCAAGATATTTTTATGCACCACATTGTAAAATAAACACTTATATCGATATTCTGTTGGTCAGAATGGTGGTCTCATCTATATACAAGATAATTAAGTTTGTGTCCAGGAGCAAAAGAAGAAAATAAACATGCAGGCAGTTTCTGACATACCAGGTATGTTTCCAGCTGAAAGATGTATAAAAATATAAACTGAATTAGAATGTATTTATATCTAGGAGTGGGTATCTATACTGTAAATTTATTTATGTGATGCGATTACCAGAAAAATATTATACATTATTAGGCATATGCATTTTAGAATAGTTTAACCTTGTTTTTATTTTGTTTTGTTTACATAGAGTTTCACTGAACATGTTAATGTGCCATATAAAGCTAAGGCACTACCATTAACTGAAGAATCCTTTTCATTATAATTAGATTAAAATATTTAATATGTGAAGGTTAAAACATTTATGATTACCTAATATTTCTATTCATGCTTTACAAATTCTGTTTCTCCTTAATGTAAAATACTTTGGTTTTGGCTTTACTGCTTTTTATTTATTTTATAGATAGGATTTAGTTTGTTGCCTAGGCTGGGATAAAGTGGTGCAATAATAGTTCACAGAAGCCTCAACCTAATAGACTCAAGCAATACTCCTGCCTCAGCCTCCTGAGTAGCTAGGACCACAACCATGCCACCTCAACCGGCCAATTTTTTCGTTCTATTTTTTAGAGACAGGGATTTGCTATGTTGACCTGGCTAGTCTAGAACTTCTGGCTCCAAGCAATCCTTTTGCCTCCATCTCTCAATGTGTGGGGGTTACAGGTGTGAGCCACTATGTCCAGCCTAATGTAAAATATTTTGAATCAGAAATTATTTACAGATTGTTTATTTTTTAATCACACGTTTATTTTAGAGTAGGTTTAACTCCACAGAAGAGTTGCAAGGATAGTACAGAGAGATCTTATCTACTCCTTAACAAGTTTCTGCTGTGTTAATATCTTATGCTACTATAGTACATTTGTCACAACAAATGAACCAATATTGATGTTATTAACTAATGTGTGTACTTTATTTGTATTTCCTTGGTTTTAAAGTAACGTGTTTTTTTCTGTTCCAAGATCTCATACAGGATTCCATATTACTTTTAGAAGTAATATTTCCCTAGGCTTCTCTTAGCTTTCAAAGTTTCTCAGACTTTTCTTGGTTTTTGATGACCTTAACAGACTTCAGAAATTCTAGTCAAGTATTTTTCAGAATGCCTGTCAACTGGGATTTGTCTGATAATTTTTTGATGACTAGACTTGGAAAACTTTTGAAAGGAAGATGAGAGACAAAAAGTGTCATTCTCATCACTTCATATCAAAAGTTTATGTTATTAATATGACTGCATATGTTGTTACCCTCCATCACGTGACTGAGGTAGCAATTGTCCAATTTCTCCACTGTAAAGCTACTCTTCACTCCATGAATCCCGTTTACATGCCAGACTCTTTGAAAGGCCGTCACTATTTGCTGTCTAAATTTAAGGGATGCAGAGTGTTGTTCCATCTCATTAAGTTCAAAGTAACTACATAAATTATGTGGGATTGTTGTATATAAAGATGTGTCTATTATTTCTCATTTATTTATTCAATCATTTATTTATTACTATGGGCTCTTACATATTTCGTTTTGGGTACCAATCAATACTCCTTTGTTTTGGTGCTCAAATAATTCTATCTTTGATCATTGGAAGCCCCTTCCATTGGCTCACTTTGATTTAACCTCATAGTTTTAAGTACGTTCATATCTTCTAGCATTACAATATTATTCATGCTACATTCAGGAGCCTTAGTCCTAAAATTAGCTAGATCTCTAAGGATACTTGATTTTTTTTTTTTTTAATTGGAGAATGTATGAGAAACCAAAATCTGGGCATTAGAAAAAACTTTATTTTTATAATGAATTCTACCAGCCTGGGCAATATGATGAAATCCTGTCTCTACAAAAATACAAAAACTGCCCTGATATGGTGGCATGCAACCGTAGTCCTATCTACTCAGGGGGCTGAAAGGATTATGTAAGCCCAGGACGCAGAGGCTGCAGCGAGCTATGCTTGCACCACTGTACCCCAGCCTGGGTGACAAAGTAATATCCTCTCTCAAAAAATAAAAAACGGTATCTAGTATTTTACCTGAGATTGCTTAGGCCATTCCCTCTGTAACTTTACAGATGCATAACTAAATAAGTATATATTGATATTGCACCTACCCAAACATAAAATATCATATATTACATAAATATCACATATGTTATAACATTGTAATTCAACAATTATTAGCTTTTGGCAGACAGCGTGGTATTAACATAACATTTCTCATTTAAATCACATTCAACTAAACAAGCTAGGTTATTCTCATTTTCTTTTAACAGTCAGAAAGCTATAACTTAGTGTGTTTAAATAGATGCAAAATATTTGAAGTGGGGCATGCAATCTTACATTTTTCCTAAGTAATTGTAAGATATTTGCTAAGGTAAATAGTTATAACATTAAAAAATAACTAAATTAATCTCATTTAGTTGAACAGTTACAAATTTCATAGCCAAGAAAGATACTAAAGTTCAAAGAAGTACTCCATGAATGAGTTTCTATATACTAGTTGCACTAATATATGAACATATTTATAAGGAAGAGCAAGGATTTATTTAGTTTATCAAGGAAAAATACAATTCCTGAACTAAAGATAAAGAATTATCAAAGTTGAACACTGAAAAATTAAAGACAAATAGTTTAGAAAGAAAAAATAGAACATGACAATTTCATGAAAAATTAAAAAATATGGAAGAATATTTTAAATATAACATGATAAGTTGGTAATATATTCCTTACTTTTTTACCTTTTGGTTTCATTGGTGACCTTTCAAATAGAAAAATTAGAAACTTGGCTATTTTAGTGTGCATGTACACAAAACCAATTTCAATCTAGTTTCTGCCTAAGGAATAATTGGTTGGTCACTTTAGAAGTTGACTTTAAGAAAACGAAGGACTAATAAAGTTGTTGGAAGACCAAAATGAGTTCAGACAAGAGACAGAAGTGCTTTTTAAAGTTAATTATGTTTGGTCTTCCTTATCCCTTGGTGTTCACTATCTTTAAATGAAGGCACACATTGGCAGAGGTAATTACCAGGTTGGTCAATGAAGGTGGCTCCATTTTTGCAGGGATGTGAAGCACACTCATCTATATCTATTTTACATCTCGTACCTTCAAAAACATAGTAAAAAAGATGTTAAGTGTTAAAAAGGCAGGCATGTACTAAGTTTTAATTCTTTAATTTGCACAAGCCTTTAATCCACTTAGGATGATATCTGAAACTGAATTTATTAGATAAGGATGCTACATACATTACTGTAAGAATCCATGTATTTCACCATGCTACAAACTGAAGTAACTTCTCTTAGAATTACAAAATGCAGGCCGGGCGCAGTGTCTCATGCCTGTAATCCCAGGACTTTGGGAGGCTGAGGTGGGTGGATCATGAGGTCAAGAGATCGAGACCATCCTAGCCAACACAGTGAAACCCCATCTCTACTAAAAATACAAAAAAAAATTAGCCAGGCATGGTGGCACGTGCCTGTGGTCCCAGCTACTTGGGAGGCTAAGGCAGAAGAATCGCTTGAACACAGGAGGGGCACGTTGCAGTGAGCCAGATTGCGCCACTGCACTCCAGCCTGGTGACAGAGCAAGACTCTGTCTCCAAAAAAAGAAAAAAAAGAAAAGAAAAAAAAATTATAAAATGTACACTAATCTGAGTTTGTAGGCATGCAAAGTGTCTTTAGATGTGAACTAATTTTTTTTTTTTTTTTTTTTTGGCTGAGGAGTCTAGAAATGATATGTATTATATTTCAGGTTACTGGAATGCAGATCAAATGTTAGGATAAAAAAATAAAAAAGTAATGAAAATAAAATATTGGTGAATCAATAACATCCTGATTTATGTCCCTGAGAGCTAATTTTTTTGTTTGTTTTGAGATGGAATCTTGCTCTATTGCCCAGGCTGCAGTGCACTGGTGCGATCTTGACTCACTGCAACCTCCACCTCCCGAGTTCAAGAAATTCTCCTGCCTTAGCCTCCCAAGTAGCTAGGATTACAGATGCACATTACCATGCCCAGCTAATTTTTCTATTTTTAGTAGAAACAGGGTTTTACCATATTGGTCAGGCTGGTCTTGAACTCCTGACCTCAGGAAATCTATCTGCCTTGGCCTCCCAAAATGGGCCACTATGCAAGGCCTTAAATGTTCTTTATAAAACACAGTTATTTAATGCTATTTACCAATAAAGCCATGAGTAATGGGTAGATGCATTTGAAACCATCCATGAGTTTTGAAGATATAATATTATGGTGCCAGTGTAAGCAATTACATTTTTTCTAGTAATTTTGCAATGTAAACCTATACAGAAAGAAAACAAATACCCATTAACTACATACTCTTAGCATTTTTTAAACTGTTGTCCAATTCATATTTTTAATTCATCCTCCACTTACAGCTGACCTTTAATACTACTTAGATTGCCTGCTAATTTCCCAACGGTTGAAAATTATAGCCTCAAATGACACTAAATTGATTTTTATGACTTATGACAGCTAATTTTCTTACCAATTCATAACAATAATAGAAAATTGACCTTGACACATACTGCAAATTATCAGCAAGTTATAAGAATGAAAACATTTCTTCTGGTTTTTTAAAAAAATTATCTAAAGCAGTAACATGAATTTAGAAAGAAGAAAACATACATCAAATTAATATAACAGGAATCAACGTACTAAGTAGAAAATATGACTATTATCATTGACAAAATAAAATATTCAGTGAAAAGCTGATACTAGAACATCAAGTTAAGCTGAGAAAAAAGTGAGTATCAAAAAGAATTATGTGAATGAATACTTTTTAAAACTTAAATACATTCATTTGGTTGTTTATAAGTCAATTCTTGAGAAAAATGGCACAATATATAATCCTTTACAAAAGGAAAAATGTGCTTTGTACACTAAATATTTCTATCTCTGTGACAATGTAAAAATATAGCTAGAATAATCCAAGCATTAATTATGTATTATTCCATGGAAAAATAATACGCATATACATGAGACAAATAATATTTTCTAAAATTAGAGAATAACTTTGATCTCAAGTTAAATTTCAGTGATCATAGTTATGGTTAGCAAGCCTGCCTGACTTGAAATTCATTTTGACACAGTCAGCTAAAGGTCCTGTGAAGGTCAACACAAGTACTACAGTTTCTATAGTGATCACTTAGGTATTCATCCACCTTAATCTCACAGTTATTACTTACAAAATACAAAGGATTCACTTCATTATAAATACATCACTGATGAAACATGCAACTAAGTCTAACATTATTTTTAGTATATATAAGATATTCAACTAGGCTGCAAAAAGACAGTGTATTCCAGAATGCTATGAAGTATTTATTCTTTTTGTTTTTATTTTTTCTTTTTGTCTTATTTTTGTTTTGGTGGGGAAACATCAGCTTACTGTCATCTCAGTAAACCAAAGAAAACTCAAATTTCCATTATTCCTTAAAATTAAAACACTGTTTATACATTACTGTATAGTGTTAATCAAATTTACTTTCTTTGATATCTTTTCATTCAAAAGCATCCTATTATACACATTTGGGTATTATTTATGATTCATGAACAAAAAACCTCTCAGCTTCTGTTTCATTAAATATGAACAAAACTAATTCACATATTCACATTTTAGATATTACTTTTAAAACAGTGATATATTTTCAGCAAAATTAAGAACATGTAGTGAAATTTATCTTTTATTTACCTTCGTTACTTATCATCTGAACTTCGTTTTAAATCTAAAAAGTTATCTACTTAGTGACTCTTTGATGAAAGTTAGAGACCACCTCTCAATATGGAAGTTAAAAATACAAATTAATTTATTTCCCATGCTCAGGTACCCTACATGTGAGTATGTAGTCAAACAGTGGTTTATCTGATGGACCCACTGTGGAATTTGAAAGAAATTTGGTGAGGTAAAGAAGCATCAGTTTAAGATAGCTCTTTTTTGTACAGGTGGGAGTGCCACAGAAATCGTAACCAAATTTCAAGGGCCTCAGTGACTACACTGCCATAGTGTCATCTAGTGTTAGTGGCATCTCTCCCCCACTGATGCTGTGATATCATATTTGTTGTGTCCCTGTCTGCTGCTTTGGGCCCTCTATATCAGTTTTCCAGATCTGATTCTAGAGACTTCTACAGGTTCTACAGGTAATAATCTTTCAATAATCTGTAAATTAAAACCTTCCCTAATTAAACCCACCTGAGTAGATTTTGAGCAACTACAATGAATAACTCTATTATTGGTATTACAATTTATTTTTGCCAATGTAATTAAATATTATATTTACATTTTACAGATGAGACAATCGGGAAATTTTTTAAGAATTTTCAGTTATTTTAGTATATATTTTAAAGTTAATAAATCATTTTTGTTAATCTATATGTTATTTTCTTCTATTTTCAGTAACAGAGAGGGTTATATCCACCAACTTTTGAAGTTAGAGAAATTCTTTTTTCTTGGGATTTCTTTGCCTGGGTTTGCTTTCTAGGTAATATTGATCTCATAGAATTACTTGGAAAGAGTTCTATCTTTCTTTTTTTGGAAAGAGTTTGTATGTGGTTGATATTATTTTCTCTTTAAATATTTAATCACACGCACCAGTGTAACCACCTGAGTCCTTGCGTTTTTGATTTGTAATTATCTATTATATTTCAGTCTCTTGCTGCATTTGCTGTTTTTTCTATTTGTTCTTAAGTTTCTGTAACTTGTGTCTTAGAATTTTTATATTCTTTCTAAGCCATGTAATTTGTTGGTATAAAATTGTTTATATTATTTTCTATGACATTTTTAACATTTTTGTAGTGTTTTAAGATGTTTCCTCTTTGATTCCTGTTTTTGATAATGTGTGTCCTCTGGCTCTCTTTCCTTAGTCTACCCGAGTTTGTTGTTGCCTTCAAAGAACCAACTATTACTATTTTTTCTATTTTATAGACTTCTGAATCTTGTCTTAGTTTCCCTTTTTCACTTACTTTGGAAATAAATTGCTTTTAATTTTTGAGCTTAAGGTAGAAACATAGATTATTAAATTTAGGTATTTATTTCATATGTAAGCACTGAGAGCTACACATTAACTCTTTCTATCTAAGCACCTCTTCAACTCAGTGTACATTTGGGTATTTTATATTCACATTCATCCCACAAAAGAAATTTTCTAATATTCCCTGTGCTATCTTCTGTGACTGATGAGTTATTTATAAGTGTTGTTCATTTTCAAGTACTGGCATGTTTCCCACATCTTTTAGGTACTAATTTGTAATTAATTCAATTGTAGTTTTGTTTTACATAAAACATGCTGCCCACATGAGGAGTGCTCTGTGTACATTCACGGAATGTACATGTTAGAAGGAATACGTATTTTGCTATTGATAGAATTTCCTGTAACTGCCAGTTAGACAAGTTGGCTGATTTACAACTCTTCCATATATTTACTGATTTTTCATATAACTGTTATATTAATTATAAGGTTACTGAAATCTCCAACTATAATTGCTAAATTCTGTATGTTTCCTATGAGTAGTGGATTTTGCTTCATGTATTTTTGGGTTTTGTTGTTAGATATGTATACATTTATTATTGTTATAGCTTTTGATCATCATGAAATTTTCCTTGTTGCTAAAAAATATTTAAAGCTGATTTTGTTCGATATTAATAAAGCCTCCCCCACCCCACTCTCTTATGTTTACTGGTTGCATGGTGTGTTGTTTAAAGATCATGTTACTTTTAACCTATTTGAGTCTTCAAATGTAAGCACAGAGTCTGATTTTGCTTTTTTTGAGCAGTCTGGCAAATGTTTTGCCTTGTGATTGAAATGAGCCCCAGTGTTAGTTTTAGCAGACAAAACTTGAAATCAGCAATTATGAGTATGTTAAAGGAATTAAGGAAAACTATAAAGATTTAACTAAAATATGACATAATATGAAATCACAACAGAAAAGTTAAAAAAACTATAAAATATTTGTTATTTAATAATTAAAAGGAAATTCTACACCAGAAAATCAAGGTAAGTTTTTTGTTTTTGTTTTTGTTTTGTTTTTTTTGAGATGGAGTCTTGCTTTGTCACCAATCTGGAGTGCGGTGGCACCAACTTGGCTCACTGCA